TAAGGTGTCTTTACAGGAATTATGCTCATCAATCTAGCATAAATAATCTGTTGGCATACAATTGTTTGTAGTATTCTTTTATATTAATTTTTATTTTTGTAAGGTCAATAATAATGTCTCCTCTTATTTCATAATTTTGGTAATTGGAATCTTTTCCATTGTTTACTTAGTCAGCCTAGCCAAAGGTTTGTTAATTTTGTTGGTCTTTTCAAAGATCAATCTTTTGGTTTACCTGATTTTCCCTACTGTTTTTCTGTCATCTCATTTGTATCTCCCTATCCAATCTCCATTATTTCTTCATTCTGCTTACTTTGGGTTTGGTTTGCTCTTCTTTTACTACTCTCCTAAAAGGTAAGATTAGGGTATTTATTTGAGATCTTCTTTTTTCATACAAATGTCTTTGGCTATAAACTTCCCTCTAAGCATTGTTTTAGCTGCCTCTCATAAGTTTTTATATGTTGTTTTCAATTTCATCCTTCTCAGAATATTCTAATAATATCCTTGGAAGTATCTTCTTTGATCTGATGGTTGCTTAGAAGTATGTTGTTTAATTTCCACCTATTTGTTAATTTCCAAAAATTTCCTTTTGTTTTTTATAATTTCATTCCATTTGGCCAGAGAACCTACTATATATGATTTCTTAAATGCCTGGAACAAGTGAGTCTCCTACACTTCAACTGAGGGACTCTGCTTGTTGGAAGGGCTTGGGCATGCAGTTTATAATTCAATTTAGGCTTCCCTTTCTGCTCCCACAACACCTTAAGGTCAGCCAGAGGTGTGAGCTTAAAGCCTTCTCATTTCTCCTGAGCATGCAAATAGCCCTGGGAACACTCACAGCCCTATGTAGGAGATAGGATCCCTTTGCTCAAGATATGGCAGTTCGCCTCAACATGCTCCCTCCGGAGATTGTTTCAAAGAAGCATTTCCTTGAGGATCTGAGCTTCTACACCTGCCTATTGATGTGCAGGAGTGCATAGAGTGACTCTCCCTAGGGGGTGTGGAGAAACAGCCGAGGTGTTAGCTGGGGGTGGACAGACCGGTCTTGGAGCATTGGGTTCTATTCTCTGCCTTCCTCCTTCATTAGCATTATAATGTGTAACTTTACCTTGGGCAAGCGAGGACCAACAGCCAGGCTCCAAAATGTTTTACTCTAAACAAAATCAATTGTATATGCGTTCCTCAGCCTTCACACTAAATTGTAATCTTAAATGGTTGCTTCTTAATGTTACTTCACCTCTTTGTATAGGTGTTAAATTCTTACTAAATGTTGGAAAGTATATAAGATAATCAGTAAAGTTTAGCCGGGCCGCCGACCAGAACGAGTCCCGGTCTCCCTTGAAGATTCATTCCTTCTGCAGTTCTTTCCCCTGCGTCACCGGATCAGAAGCTCCAAGGAACACACAACAACAGCCCTACCCTTACCCACAGCATTTATTAATGCATTCTCAGGAACAGGTTGGCTCTTTGTAACGCCCCCAGGGATTCCAGTTCCCTAGCTTTTCCTTTTAAGTTTTTTTAGTCAGCTTCTTTGTTCAACTATTATCACTGTCTCAGGCAGCTGTGATATTAAATAAGTGTTGCTGATGGGTTTTGATAATACCCAGGTAAAAGGCTATTTTTCCAAACAAGTTCTGAGTCAGATGAAATAAATACTAGTCCTTTGAATGGTAGTTCGAAGGAAACTGGCAAATAGGTCAAATAATGACAGCACTCTGAGAATTGCAGAGGTGGAGCTTCGAGCCTCTTTGGCTCTTACTGGTGGCTGTGGGCACAGCAAGCACCCACAGACAGAGGAGCTCCTGGTTTCCAAGACTGTTATGGAGCTAAAGGGAAGGAGGTGTGGGTCTATGGCAGGTTAAAATGCCACAAAGCTGCTGTTCTTACTGAGATTAAGTTGCTTTTCATGAATAATTCCTTGGATTGTTACAAATCTTTGGTTAATTTCCAAAATCAACTGAAAACACAAAATGTTGATGCTGGTGATTTGTGTCAGTGTTCTGGTTGCTTTTTTGGAGGAGTAATTTTTGCCAATTCCTTATTTTTAAACTAAAAACATACATACTTAAAAAGTCTAATGTACAGCATTTTCTCCCCACATTGTAATGCATCACCATCATAAAACAAAATGTGGCCATCATAAAACAAAATCTCCCTTCAAAGCACTCAGTTGAGGTTTACATTGTATCTGAAGGCACCACACATAGCCTGGTGTGACTGTGATGGCTCCTCCTGGTATCTCTGGGCTTCCTTGGGGCTGCTCTGTTCTCTGGTCAATGGGGTCAGAACTCTCAGGGTTCCCTAGAATGCCCCTCACTCTCCTTGTTCCCACTCCCTCAGAGTCTTCCCTCAAAGTCTTACCCAACCCTGAACCTCCTTTTCCATCACCAACATACCATTACCTCTTGGCTACCACAAGCTTCTCTCCACTCTCTCAGAGAGGGTAGTAAACCTTCATATAAACACCACTGCAGTGAGTTCCCTCCAGGGGCCCAAAGACTTCTACCAGCCTCCTCTTCTGGATAAAATCTCATCTTTTTAGTGCAGCTGTCCAAGTTTCACAGTTGGGACCCAAACTGAAGCAGAATTCATACAACTTGTGTTCTGACTCCAGCTCAATTTGTACTTACTGCACAGAATTATAGGCCATTATTGAACTTCTACTATTTGCTGCACTCAGTTAATACACGGAGATATAGATAAGTAAGTCTGTAGTTACGATATATTATAGCCAAGACTAGGGTAGGAGAATCAGTTAAGAAGATATCTGAGAAATTTCCAATTGAAAAGTAGGAAGACTGAAGAAGTGAAACATATTTCTATTGTCTTTTTATTCTCTATTTCCAACAATACTCTCAAAGGTTAGTCATTGTGACAGAAATATGGTTATATGTTGGTTTTTCATCTATAAATATAAAAAAGTGTAAGAACGCTGGCATTTCTGCATACATAGTGAGCCACATGAACACGTGCTGACGGGTAGCATTTGTTTCCCCATGTAAAGCTTGTGCTCCAGGACTGTGGTGCAGAAACAGCAGAGAATACACATGCAGGGGCCCCATTAATTTAATGCTTTAAAATTTCAGTCATTAACAACAGAGTTATTATGAATAAAAAATAAAAAAATATGTGCAGGAAGAATGGGGACTGAAGACCCCATTATTGGCAAGGGAAAATACCCCCAGAAAAAAGGGGAAAATAAAAAAGTAAGGTGAGTGAGGCAGAACAAAGAAAAATCAGCTAGTTCAGGCTCAGTGCCTGTAGCACAGTGGTTATGGTGCCAGCCACATAACTGAGGATGGCAGGTTCAAATCTGACCTGGGCCAGCTAAACAAGTGCAACAAAAAAATGGCCAGGCATTGTGGTGGGTGCCTATAGTCCCTGCCACTTGGGAGGCTGAGGCAAGAGAATTGCTTAAGCCCAAGAGTTGGAGGTTGCTGTGAGCTGTAGCACTCTACCAAGGGCAACATAGTGAGACTCTGTCTCAAAAAAAAAAAAAAAAAAAAAAGAAAAAGAAAAAAAGTCAGCTAGTTTAACTTTAAACCAGCTGCTGCTAAGTTTCTTATCTGAGCAAGTTTTCTGCTTTTCCTAGAACTCTGACCTATTTGGGATACAGCTTACAGAACAAATATAATTTATTAGATGTTGCATCACAGATCCCTGCTGGGTCTGTGAACAATATGAAGAAATAATGGTTGGGCAGTGCCTGTGGCTCAAAGGAGTAGGGCACCAGCCCCATATGCCAGAAGTGGCAGGTTCAAATCTAGCCCTGGCCCAAAACTGCAGAACAAAAAAGAAATTATGGCCACAGAAGATGCTGTGGCAAGGCCTTGAAAGATACATTAACTAGGCCATTTCCTGCCCAGTAAACAGTCAAAGCAAATACCTATTGTAGAGATTTGTATTTGGCTGGGGCAGAGATCAAGGGAACAGCTTGAGCCCTGAAATATGGGTAGGAGGGTTTACATCTCTTATTGCAGAGGAAGACCCTCTGTGGTGGTGATGAGAGGAAAATTCCTCTCTCCCACCAATTCTTCAGAGGAGACTGATGCCTGTGGCATTTTCCTCCACAGTGAACTAGTGGAGTTTAATACCTCCCTAGGAATCTGTGTGTGTGACCTCAGACAGGAGGCTGCTCCCACACAAGGCTCAGGTTCTGGATTTCTCAAGACTGCTCATACCCTAAAGTTAATGATTATGGAAACAATAGGCACTGATATGCTCGCTCAGAGAAACTGCTGGCATCTTTGTTCCCTTCCTCAGCTTATCCTCTGGGCTAATGAGCAAATAGCCTTCAATAAAAGCTGAGTAGAACTGACACTCAGAGTCACTACCAGAACCTCATAAGCAGCGATGGTCCCCTGAGTTCCCACCTTTGAACATTCTATTCTGCGTGTCTCATCTCTTTCTTTCTCATCATTTCTAACTTTGTATTTCTTCTTTTTTTTTTTCTAGAGACAGAGTCTTATTTTATCACCCTCGGTAGAGTGCCATGGTGTCACAGCTCATAGCAATTTCCAACTCCTGGGCTTAGGCAATTCTCTTGCCTCAGCCTCCTGAGTAGCTGGGACCACAGGTGCCCACCACAATGTCCAGCTACTTTTTTGTTGCAGTTTCGCTGGGGCTGGGTTTGAACCTGCCACCCTTGGTATATGGGGCTGGTGCCCTACCCACTGAGCCACAGGTGCCGCCCCTTTGTATTTCTTCAGTCGATGACCACCAGATCCACAGGTCTTAATGGACTCTTCTGCCAGGTCAGGATCCTGGCAATTATGAAGACACCCAACACTCATTTCTTATTACCTGTGTGTGCATCTCAACTCTTGATGTCTTTATTTGAACATTAGTTTGGGCAACTTAATGAGAATAAATACTTTATCTCAATTGATTATTTTGTGGAGTACCTTTTATAAGCAGAATTCTATGGACAACATTAATTATTACTGATAGCTCACCTCACACAGGAAAACCACCATGTGGGGAAAAGAAAAGCAGCTACTTACGCTCTGCTTTTAACTGCCCAAGGATGGAATTTTCTCCTCTGCACATGGTTCTGAAAATATGTAAAGGAAAGAAATAATTATTTAGGTTTCAAAACAACTAATCACAATTGCAATCTTTGTAGGTTTAATCTTGAGTAAAAACAGAACAAGTATAATGTATTAGACGTTGCATATATTTTTAAAGCTAAAAAAAATTACATGAATATGACTTTTGCAATGTTACTAATGGGAGAAGATAGTTGTTTTGAGATTGATAAATAGAAAAGTTATAAAATTGATGTCACATTTCAGAAAGAGAAGCTATTGGAAAAAAAGGATGGAAAAAGATAAACTTTACCTCTTATAAAATCTGATGACAGTAAAGATACATTTAGAATGCATCAGATAGATAAGAATACACATTACTTTCAGAAGTAGAAGGGCAAACACTTAGCAGAATAATTTTAATTTTAGGAATTAAACAAACTATTATCATGTGCTATCTCTGTAAAGTCAGCAAAACCCCTTAAAGTGAAAAATGAAGTCTCAACTAACTGCTAATTATTTCACTTTTTCAGACTTTGATAATAATTAGTGAATTATAAAGACTGACAAAACCAAAAATTCTATATTCTATCTGCTTGCTCTATAAAAATAATCAAAAATATATTTATGCCTGGGAAATGCTGTTATCAAAGGTGATTCCTGCAAATAGAGATGTTTTTGCATAATAAAAGATTATAGTTTGGGTTACTGAACAAAAGCCAAACATGCCATTTCATTCAGCTGATTGAAGCTCAAGAAAAGAGTTATAGCAAATAATTCCAATTGATAAATTCCAAAATTAATGTTGGAATGGCAAATGAAGTGGATACAATTAAACATTATGTCAGTGCCTTAAATACTTGGAAATCTTTGTTTAATCAGATAGTATTAGAAATGGGCAAATCTTCAACCTGAGAATAAAGAGCAAAGCACAGTTAAAATTCTCTCATTGTAACTAGACAAAATTATTCTAGAGGAAACAAAAAAACATCTTTAAGCACTGGCAGATAAAAAGATACAAACTTGAAAAGCTGGTAGGAAACAAGAGGATTAAAATAAAAACTCTACCACAATGATGCACTCCAACCATACCCGATTCTGCAGTGGGGTTTTTGGCTAGCAGTCCCGAGCAGGATGGCGTCTAAATGCCACCCTCATTTGTCCAGGACCCTGAATGATTATCTACTTTGTACCTCAGGGGTTTTGTGTAAGGTTTCATTTTTCTTTTCCCACCATTTAAAAGGATTTGATTAGAAAGGTGAGAAGCTACAGGTCATGCAGAAAAACAAGAGATATTAGGGTGGTGCCTGTGGCTCAAAGGAGTAGGGTGCCAGCCCCATATACTGGAAGTGGCAGGTTCAAACCCAGCCCTGGCCAAAAACTGCAGAAGAAAAAAAAAGAGAGGATAGATATTAGGAGAAATCACCCAGGTCTAGCCTTTACCGTGACTCGCTGAAATTGTGTCACTGAGTGAGGTCACAGAGCTTAGAACTAGGCCAGATCTTCACTATATCCCATTTCTATGCCCTCCACGCTACTGCTCTAACCCCTACTGTCTGCTAGTCCCTCTGACCCTCTTTCCACAGTGCTCACTGGCCACCTCTGACACCCAGGGAGACCCAACTTTGCCTGAGTAACTATGATAACTCAGCTTTCTAAATTATCAGGGGCAGGACATTACCTAAAATCTTAACATGGATGTGGCAGTAAAGACAGAATGTAAATGCCCAGAAATAGGAAAGGCCCTTCACACTCCATTTCCTCACAGAGGCTTTATTACCTTGCTGGAGGACTCACTATTTAAGGAATCATAACCAAACAGATGCATATCATATCATTTTAGGTATTTCATTTTTTTATTTACTTACTGCAATGAATATGCAAAGCTCAACAACTACTTAACTGCCTAAAGATAATTCAAAGTCAACTTTATACATATACATAAATAGACAATGAATATAAAGATAGACTATTATTTTATTTCTTTTATATTTGCCATGTGCCCTAGTCCCACTGTTTCATAATTTTAGGCTTTATTTGAATTTTATCAACTAGGAAACAGACTAAGATTTGAAAGTAAAATAAGTATTCATTTGTTGAATGCTCCATTAAATGGATTTGGAGAAATATTACTATCTCCTTCACCTGCATATGTGCATTACTGCTTGCAAGCTTGAGATAGACAGTTTAGAACTCGGCACCTGTAGTTGAAGTGCATTATTGCCTGGAGAGCATTTCCTCCTCCGGTAGAGATGTCTCCTTCAAACCCGGGGAGAAGTGGTATCACCACATACACACGATATCTCTTGTTTTCCCTGAAACATTCATACACAGAGAAATTAATCAAATAAAGATAAAGCATTAGTTTAAAACGACAGCCAAGCAGTTTCCATGGTTTTAGGGATTGACCGAATGGTTTGCTACAAAACATTCTGTCACTTTTCAGGGCTGGGGGTGGGAGAGAGTGCTTCTGGATGGAGCCAGATGTTACCTGGGCTCTCAGGTGTCAGCCTGGACAGGAAGCTGGGCTTGACAGCAAAATGGGAACTTTACCCATTAACTCTCTACAGCAAAATCCTCTGTAGGACAAAATTCAGTGTCAAGAAAGCCGTGCTTGGATCTCAGGAAAAAAGGAGAATTATAAAAACGTTTTGAAAGAGGATGTTTTAGTAATAGTTACATGTGTAACAAGTTGTATCTGCAGCACCAAACTCGAACCTGGAAGATGGTGTACACTCAGTAACTGCTGAGTAAGTTTCCATAGATTACATCTCACAGGCAAAGGAATACTGGATCCAGCATATTTCCCAGTACTGATGTTATCATCGTGTATCTTGAAACTCTGAGGTTTCAGCTGCAAAATCTTACCTTTGGCTCTTTAAGAATTCTGAGTGACTAATGTTTGGTAGGGTTTTTTTTTTTTTTTTTGCTGTTTGTTTGTCTTTTTTTTTTTTGTAGAGACAGAGTCTCACTTCTTCACCCTCAGTAGAGTGCAGTGGCATCGCACAGCTCACAGCAACCTCCAACTCCTAGGCCTAGGCGATTCTCTTGCCTTAGGCTCCCGAGCAGCTGGGACAATAGGCACCTGCCACAACGCCCAACTATTTTTTTTGTTGCAGTTTGGCAGGGGTCAGTTTTGAACCCACCACCTTCAGTATATGGGGCCAGCACCCTACCCACTGAGCCACAGGTGCCGCCCGTGACTAATGTTTGTTTTTAAATCCTCTGTGCATTTGCACATATAACAAAACATATCATGACCCACTTTCTCAACTGATTAATGACAATTTTCAAAAGAACAGGAATTCCACCTAATGATATAACAAGTCTTTATGTCCATGTATGAGACATAAAGGACAGGAGAAGAAAAAGCCTGGAAATGAATGTGGCATCCACTGTGGTTAAGGAATCCTACCGGTGTATCTGAGAGGTGGACACTCATGCACATGTGTTGCTTCTGGTTAATATTTAAGTTTGACCCTACTTAAACTTTTTTTTTTAGTATATGTGCCCTCGAAGCAAGCACCCTACTTAAACTTTTTATAATACTTTCTTTTTAAAGATCCTTTTCTCCTAAACAGCTAAAACTTTTGCATGTGAATATTATCACTACTCTTTGAGGGATCAGATTTTTGTTACTAATGTCACTCAGCATGTGGAGAATGAAGCTCAGGGCAGAGGTGACAGTTCCTTGGCAGCAGAGCTAAGAAACAAGGAATTTTAAGTGGCCAGTGTAATTGGAAAGAAAACATTTAAAAAATGTAAACTCTTAAAAGTTGCTGCTAGATAAGGGCAAATAGCTCAAAATGGTAAATAAGACAGTGGGTAATGGTAAATAAAATACGTAAGCTATTTCCCCATACCCAGTATTTAGAAGTTCTAACACCTAAAAATCGACGTGTAGTGGCCAGTACCTTTGCAGATCATCTTCAGAACAATCCTCACCTTAAGCTCCTGTCACAGCAGAAGACCACCACGGCCTTGTGTTCAGAAGTTCATATCCAGATCAATACAACTTGGCTCACTGGCTCTCCTAGCCTAAAAAGAACTCCATGTCTCCTAGGTCCCTTACAAAACCACTTGGCCTGTGAAGCCTCCCTGGACCTCCTGGTCATAGGTAATGACCCCTGCTCTGTGGTCAGCACATGGCTGGAGTGTCCCTTTCACATGCCTGCTGCCCAGTCTAGGTGGAGGACTCAGAAACACAGGCCAAGTGTGCACACACCTTCCTCCCTAGGCAGTGTCCAGGGGGGGACATGGCACACTGTGCATTTGGTACAGTGTTTTGGGGAGGTTAGGGAGGTGGGAAGAATGTTTCCGGGGAGGTCTGTAGTACAGAAGAGGTTAAGCTGCACAGGACATTTAAGTCACATTTAAAAATTGACATTTTACTCATTTTTTAAGTGTACAGTTCAGCAACATTCACTGCATTCACCATGCTGTGCAACTATCTATTCCCGACACTTTTTCCTCATTGCAAATAGAAAGTCTATCACTATCAAGTGACAAGTAGCCCATCTCCTCTCCACAGACCCTGGGGACCTCTCCTCTGCTTTCTGTCTCCATGCATCTGCCTACTCCAGAGTTTTTGTGTAAGTGGATCATACAAGGCCTTTCCTTTTTTGTCTGACTTACTTCACTTTGCATAACATCTTCAAGGTTTATTCATGCAGTAGTGTGTGTCAGAATTCCCTCCTTTTCCTGACCAAATAACATCCCAGTGTAAGTGTATGCTCCATCCAGCTGCTGGCAGACACGTGGTTTGTGTCCACCTCTTGGCTTTGTGACTAATGCTGCTCTCAATGTCAGTGAACTGCACCTGCAGCAGTCCCTGTTTTCAGTTCTCACAGCATGTACTTAAGAATGAAATTGCTGGATCTTATGGTTATTTTATGCTTAGCATTTTAAGGAACTGCCAAATAAATTATTTTCTAATGTATAACATATCCTTGAAGCACAAAATTTAGGACTCAGAAGATCATATGGTGAAACAATTCCCTTTTTCCATTTTGTCCCCTGGGTCCTGTTTCCCTTCCTTGAGGGCAACTCCCGCTACCAGTTTCCTCAGTGCTCTTTTAGAAACCATCTATGAACTAACAAGTACATATAGATATTCTTGCCTTTTACAAAAATATTAGAATACTATAAACATTTTTTCTGAACATTATTGTTATCATTTAAAAGGGTATACTGGAAATTCTTCCACATCAAAACATAAAGACTGACTCATTTTTTAACAACAGGGATGTAGTATTCAGTATTCTGTCATATTATCTGTACCTTAAATACTTAAACCAGTTCTCCACTGATAGGGATTTAAATCATTTCCACTTTTTGGCTTTTTTGGATTCAACTATTTTTTTTATTAAATCATAGCTAGGAACATTAATGCAGTCATGGGGTACAATCTGCTGGTTTTATATGCAATTTGAAATGTATTTTTTTATTTGCAGTTTTTGGCCAAGGCTGGGTTTGGATCTGCCATCTCCAGCATATGGGCTGGTGCCCTACTCCTTTGAGCCACAGACACCACCCCAATTTGAAATATTTTCATCAAACTGGTTAACATACCCTTCATGGCATTTTTTAGTTATTGTGTTAACTAAATGTGTTGACATTTATATTCTACATTTATTAAGTTTCACACGTACCCTTGTAAGATGCACCGTAGGTGTGGTCCCACCAATTACCCTCCCTCCACCCATCTTCCCCCCTCCCCTCCCATCCCTCTCTTATTTCCCCATATTTGGGGGCTATAATTGAGTTATGAAAGCTATAAATCAGTTTCATAGTAGGGCTGAGTACATTGGATACTTTTTCTTCCATTCCTGAGATACTTTGCTAAGAAGAATATTTTCCAACTCCATCCATGTAAACATCCATCTTTCTTTAAGGCTGCATAGTATTCCATGGTGTACATATGCCACAATTTATTGATCTATTCATGGGTCAATGGACACTTGGGCTTCTTCCATGACTTAGCAATTATGAATTTGGCTGCGATAAACATTCTGTACAAATATCTTTGTTGTGGTGTGATTTGGGGTCTTCTCGATTTATCCCTAGTAGAGGAATTGTAGGATCAAATGGCAGGTCTATTTTTAGTTCTCTAAGTGTTCTCCAAACATCTTTCCAAAAGGAACGTATTAGTTTACATTCCAACCAGCAGTGTAGAAGTATTCCCTTTTCTCCACATACACACCAACATCTCTGGTTTTAGGATTTTGTGATATGGGCTCATCTTACTGGAGTTAGATGATATCTCAAAGTAGTTTTGATTTGCCTTTCTCTGATGATTAAGGATGATAGGCATCTTTTCATAAGTCTGTAGGCAATGCACCTGTCTTCTTCAGAGATGTTGTTCTCTTCAAGTCCCTTGCCCACCCTGAGATGGGATCACTTGTTCTTTTCCTGCTAATACATTTGAGTTCTCTGTGGATTCTGGTTATTAAACCTTTGTCAGAGACATAACCTACAAATATATTCTCTCATTCTGAGGGCTGTCTGCTTGCTTTACTTTTTATGTTCATGGCTGTGCAGAACATTTTAGTTTGATCAGGTCCCCGTAGTGCATTTTTGATGCTGCTTCAATTGCCCGGAGGATCCTCCTCATAAAATGTTCTCCCAGGCCAATGTCTTCAAGAATTTTCCCTGTACTTTCTTCTAGTATTTTTATAGTTTCATGTCTTAAGTTTAAATCTTTAATCCAGTGAGAATCTATCTTAGTTAATGGTGAAAGGTGTGGGTCAAGTTTCAGTCTTCTACAGGTCACCAGCAGTTCACCCAGCACCATTTGTTAAATAGGGAATCTTTTCCCCATTCAATGTTTTTAATTGGCTTGTCAAAGATCAAATAATGGTAAGTAGCTGGGTTCATGTCTTGGTTCTCTATTCTGTTCCATACATCTACCACTCTGTTTTTGTGTCAGTGCCATGATGTTTTGATCACTATCAATTTATAGTATAATCTGAGGCCTGGTAGTATGATTCCTCCTGCTTTGTTTTTATTTCTGAGTAATGTCTTGGCTATTCGAGTTTTTTCCTGATTCCATATAAAATGAAATATTATTTTTTGAGATCTTTAAAGTATGACAGTATAGCTTTAATAGGCATTGCATTAAATCTGTAGATTGCTTTGGGTAGTATGGACATTTTAACAATGTTGATTCTTCCAAGCCACGAGCATGGTATGTTTTTCCATTTAGTTATGGCAAATTTCTTCAACATGTGAATGTCATTAAAGTATTTAATTTCTCCATCACAAATGAAACTCAGTTTAGCTGGATACAAGATCCTGGGTTAAAAGTTATATTGTT